GGGATTGAGTAAATAAATGAATGGATAAAAGGGATGAAGCAAATTGAATGGCCAAAACTGGATTTTTCGGTGGTGGATTCTATTTTTCAGTGCATAAATATTGATTGATACGTTTGATTTTCAAATTAATTGACATATTGCCATGATTTGGCCTCTTTTACATTGAAAAACCCCCGAAAATTCTGGAATAACACAAAGAAAAAAATTTTGATTCAATGGGGAGCCTCTACTTGTGATTGAGATCAAATCAAGTCGAGAATCTACTCATTTCGAGTAGATTTCATCGACTTCGATGGAGTATTTCCGAAAAATGTAAAGTTGCATTGGTAACTTGATTCAAGTAGAGCTTTCGATTGATTCAAGTAGAGCTCGAATTTATTTAAGGAGAACTTGACTTGATTCAAGTAAATCTTCGGAGTTGATTCTAGCACATCATCGGACTTGATTCAAGTAGATCAGGCTTGATTCAAATAGATCTTTCGACTTGATTCAAGTAGATCTTCCAACTTTATTCAAGTAGATCTTCCAACTTGATTAAAGTAGAGCTTCCGACTCAATTCAAGTAGGAAAGGTACTTGAGTCAATCATACATCCACTTGATTCAAGTCGAGCTCTACTTGAATCAAGTACATTTCGCACTGACATCCGTTTTCATTAACCAATCTTTTTGTTTATCTCATAGCCTAGGATCATAGTCTTTCTACTCGAATCGACTAGAGAAAAATACTTGAATCACGTCTGGTCTACTTGAATCAAGAAACTTTTTTAGGGAGGGAAGAAATTTATCCGACGTTGAATGCAGAGAAATTGGAAAATTCGTAATAACAAGATACTTGCCAACATCCCTGCACTCATCCTTTCGGAATGGAACGCACTGGAGTACCCATCTCCTCGCAAGTGTAGCGAGCTCCTCGTCCCAACTCTTGAAAGGAAATAAGTGAAGGAGTGAGTGAAGTAGATATTGCAATTTTGGTTTGGAATTAAGGGATAGGCGAGATGGGTTGAGATACAAGTTCCATCATGCTCCGGGCTGGTGGTTGAGGGCCTGGTTTGCCGCGTGTTTCTTGACCACTTGCTATGTGATTCCGGTGGAGATTGTGCTCATGTACTATTGATTGTATCTCGGAATTATCTAGATCACCGCTCTCGAGATCTTGGCACCGGTGGCTTGGGTCGTCAAACTGGGGGCGGGGTGAAAACTTTATTCAATTCGAGGAAATGAATGTATTCTTTGACAAACGGAGGTGAGTTTTTTTTTTATTTATGATTGCTCTTCTAATTCATTCATCAATTTATCAATTTATTAATCATTTTAATTGCAAATAAATGGAAAAAAAGAAATTCTCCGACCCAGTTTTTCAAATTTATCTTCATAATCTCATTAATTTATAGACTTCCGCACAATTCGTGAAGGCACTTTAATGATAAATGACACAATGTGCTGAATCAATTGTTAATTAACATCTCCAAGAGAGAAATGATGATTAGTGGAAGAGACGCCTGAATTATTCACTCCACCATTTTAATTTCGTTCATCTGTTTGTTTATTGATTTTAGAAATTTAATTCTACTCGAGTGGATGTTTGGACACATAAATGAATGCAAATATGACAAAAAAATGTCGAAAAAGGGTGTCCGATCGCAAGTTAATTGAAGAAGCGAAATTCTCTTCACTCAATTCGTTTATTTTATCCTCATAATGTGATAATTGATTTCGGCAAAATTCATGAAGGTAATTTCATTCTAAATGGTAAAATGTCACGTATTCATTCTTAATTGACATCCAGTGAATAAATGATAAATCGTGGAAGAGACACCTGAATTTCTCACTCCACGATTTTAATTTCCCTTCTTTATCCAATTATTGATTTTAAAAAATTTTTACAGCTTTTGTTCATCAACATCCCTGATTTCTCTTGAACAACCGGAGAGGATCGAATTAATTCCTCTCAGGTCATTCCATGTCTAGTTTAGCCAAAGTGATCGCAATAACCAAATTTTTTCTACGGATTTAGACAAGACGAAGAGAATTATTTCTCGCGGAGACACATGTTCGGATATAATCACATTACTCTTCAGCGACGGAATAAAATTGAGGCGAATTCGTTGTCTTCAAAAACTGTCCAACATTTTATCATTTAATTGATTCAATTTTTCGGAGAAAATTACATTTTGGCCAGTGGATTATCTCGAAAGAGAGCGGTTCTAGGGGAAAAAGTCAATAGACATTCTTTGTGGAAAATTTCATAATCTAGAAGAAAGCTTTTATGACATTTTTTGTTTAATCCCCTCATAATCCAATATTTACGAAATTACGATTGAAACCAAAAGAATTTAATTATCTCAGGAATTAGTTATGTCAACAAATTAATTCAATTTCTTCATAAACATTAAATATAAATCCCAACGTAAATATCAACATTTCCCATTTAGGTAATTAATTTTTTCAGAGAAAATAACATTTAGGCCAGTGGATTATCCCGAAAGAGAGCAGTTCTAGGGAAAAAACTCAATAACATTTTTTGTTTAATCCACTCATAATCCAATATTAAATTAATCAAGCGAGTAACTTCGTCTAAAATCAAAAGAATTTCACGAAATATTTTTTTTAACCCCCGCAATTAATTAAATTAAATGAAATCAATTAATTAAATTTCTGCATGAAAATAAACTAAAAGAAATCGCGAAGTAAATTAAAATCCCAACGTAAATGTCCCATTGCTAGGTTATTTTTATCACGTGAATACATTACAGGAAAAAGACACATGGTGTGACGTTGGCACAGTCGACAGTAGCACCTGGAGTCGTCCTCGTACACAGCTGACACATGATAACTCGTGTTAGCCATCAGGAGTAAGAAATATAGGGTCGTTGAGTAACTCATGTCTACCCAGTGTCGTGTATTTGTCGTGCAATGGTAGGTTGGAGTGTCAAGAAAATTCTCGGAGATACAACCGACAATGCACAGTTCATAACAAACTCGCTTGGCATTTGTCAAGGCAAACATGTCAAAAGAGATTTCCCGCTCATTTCCAGAAAAATATTTTGAGAATGAATGAATGGCTTCACCCGCTCTCAATTATTTGGGGCTGTCAAATGAAATCAAGATTGATGACGAGAAAAAAGACATTTTTTTTTCAATTTTAGCTAAAGTTGAGATGAAATTATTTGCATACTGTAATTCATCGTATATTCATTTAGTTTTTTATTTGGATTTATTGCAATTTCTTGGATGGTACACGGCAGTGCGCCAACCTCGCCGGACAATTTTTTCCAATTTTCATGGTCCAAATGAATAGTCAGGGGAATTTTCGCTGGAGAACACAACATGAGAATCAATTAAGGATATCCAAGTCCTTTGGCTATTTTTTTTCAGCGATGTACTTTTCTACTTTTGCTGTTGAATATCAGAACTTTCATTTGAGCCACATTTGACTCCGTGTTCCAGGCCATTTTGCAAATATTTTATTATTTAAATTTTGAGGGATGAAATATGGGTAAAATCATTGAAGTAATCAAAATAATCGCAATTTTTAAAGACTCCGCGTATTGTAGAAAATCATTCTTTCGAAATCATAACAAATTTATTCAAATTCAGAATTTTACCAGACATCGACATACCCAAAAAATGAGGTTTCCGAATGTTTAAACAATTTCATCTATTCGTTCCTAAAAAAGGAATGTTCAAAAAATAATTTGATGAAAAATTTGGCGATTGAAAATTGCTGAATCCATAGTGTACTCTGTACCAAACTGTAAAAGATATCCTTAAAATTGATTAGTCGCAGAGATATTGAATGGAAGCTTTTTGCGTTAAAAAAAGCGTTTTTTTACAAGCCAACGCTCCACCAACCCCTTCAACTCCCCGAAAACACAAAATTCCGCGTTAATTACCCGTTTCAACTCCTCAAACCTCCAATTAAATGCCAAAACTCCCCGACAAATGCCAAAAACATCGGCGCAGCCCGAAAAAAATTACCTCAAAATTTCATTCCCCAACATCACGAACACTTTGTTCCCTCACACTCACGATGCATCAGTGTGTGAACATTCAACACCCGCTTACGAAACTTTTCGGAAAGTTAGTTACACGAGAATTCCCCGATCTGGGTCATATTCTCATCCCCTGCTCACCATCCGATTCGACATCCACCTATTCCTCCACCCACTTGATATCCTGCATGTCTCTCAGGCCTGTCGTTTCTCTGTATCATTTCAATATCTGAGACACTCTGAAGCGAAACAGACAGACGGGAAAACCACATTCGCTTGGGTTCTTGAAAGGGCCCCGTCGGTTTTCATCGAGCATTCACCCACCCCGCTCACCTCATTGGCTTTCCACTTCGATTTTGTGTGACTGGTAAACTGGGAATATTTCGGTTTACCTCGGATATTTAATTTCTGAGTGGTCGCGTGTGCATGAGGGGCGTTGATGCGAATGTAGAGGTGAGAAAAAGTTTTTTTTGAGTGAAAAGGAGAGGGAGATGGGTTCAATGGGTGGAATTTGGGATTTTTGAGCGGTGATTTCATGTAGATCTTGAGAGATGTGTTGGAAATGCTTTTTTCTATGAAAAATGTTTTATTTTTTCATTTTTTTTTGAGTCAAATTATATCTCAAATTATGAGTCGAGTTATTGCTTGTAGGATGACTCAAGTAGTGGCTTAATATGTTGCTCAAGTTGTGACTCAAAGTCCCACAAGTTATGGCTCAAGTTATAATTCTAGTTATTCCTCAAATTTATTTTCACTTTTTTAGGAGTCAAATTGTGGCTCAAGTAATGGTTCAAGTTGTTGCTCATGTTATGATTCAAGGTACGACTCAATTAGTTGCTTAAATTGTTATTCAAGTTGTGAATAAAAATCGCCAGAATTATGTTTCAAGTTGTGAGTCAAGTAGTGGCTTAATATGTTGCTCAAGTTGTGACTCAAAGTCCCACAAGTTATGGCTCAAGTTATAATTCTAGTTATTCCTCAAATTTATTTTCACTTTTTTAGGAGTCAAATTGTGGCTCAAGTAATGGTTCAAGTTGTTGCTCATGTTATGATTCAAGTTATTCCTCAAGGTATGACTCAATTAGTGGCTTAAATTGTTATTCAAGTTGTGAATAAAAATCGCCAGAATTATGTTTCAATTTGTGAGTCAAGTAGTGGCTTAATATGTTGCTCAAGTTGTGACTCAAAGTCCCTCAAATTATTACTCAAGTTATTGCTCAAGGTATGACTTAATTAGTCGCTTAAGATGTTACTCAAGTTGCGATTAAAAATCGCCGGAACCATGTTTCATTTTTTTTTCTCAAGTTATGACTCCAAAACGCTCAAGTCAGTTATGACTCAAGTTATGATTAAAAATCGCTCAAATGTGACTCAAGTTATTGTTCAAGTTGAGACTTTAAATGTGGAGAAAAGTTTTTTTAAGTCAGGGGTGGGGTAAAATGAGTCAAATGGGAGGATTTCGGGGGTTTCGAGTGGCAATTTCGCAGGAATCTTGAGACATACTGCATTGGCCTTTCTGTTTCCTATGAAAAACATCTTTTGAAATGTCACCACGAGTCTTCGAAATGCACTGAATCAACATTATTTGTTACTCATATTCCTTCTACATTTAGTTCATCTGAATAGTAAACCGGAAATATATCAGCTCACGTCGGATATTTAATCCCCGGGTAGTCGCGTGTATACCGCTGACATTGACAAGCTGAATGTACTAGGATTTTTTTTACGAAAGGCACATGCAGAATTATTTTTGGGGGATTATAACGCCTCAGTCGTTGGTGATTTCATGCGGATAAAATCGTCGATTTTCGGTTATGCATTTTGGGGGATGAAAAATTGAGACTTTGACAGTTATTTAACGGCGGGATGCAAATTTTGCAGTTGAGGTAATCCATTTCATCAGATATTCTGGGTGAATATAAGTTAAAAAATCAAGAAATCAATACGTGAAAATGAATGTTTGAACTTTTCAATTTTTCATTCAACCAATTTGTATTCAAGCAATAGAAAATATTACGTATTCCCCAGTGGAAACAAGAAATGAGTGACTGCGCTCAGACCTACAAATATAATTTTTTAATATCACAATCAGACGTTCAATTTTTTCATTAAAAAAATAAAACAATTTTCTTCAGTAGAAAATCTCAGAACCATGTTGTCTGGTTCCGTTCATATCCAAAATAATCTGGGTAATTTTTTCATGTCTCAATAAAAAAAATCCCACTCCATTCAATTCCGCGTAAAAAAGTCTCACAAAAACATGCCCTCCCCCCCTGTAAAAACAATTCATAACATCACACAAAATTTTTTTATGAATCCTGACAGTGATGAAGATCAGTTCTCCGCCAACACGCGAATGAAAAAAAAAATTGTGTGTGAGACCCGTCAAAACTTACCCGTTCTGTTCTCCACCTTCATTCACGTACATACACCACCGTCGTATACATAATATAGAGGATATTATACATGGATATGAAGTGTGGGCGCTCGTCAAGTAACCAATTAACGTAACTCTGGAAATTGGAAAGTCTGCTTGCTCCTGTCGTCTACCAGTCTCGTCATAATTTCCCTTGTACAAGTATTTTCACGACTTTAAAAATCCGTGGGGGATGGGGGGCAGAAGGGGAAGGGGAGGTGAGGAAGCCCGGTAATTAATCATGATTGAAGAGTCACAGTCTGTGAGGTAGTCAGACGAGAGCAAAACAAAGATACTTTGCAAAAGTATCGATTCGGGAATTTTCACCCCCCCCCTTTTCCTCTATCTTGAGATAATTTCCCCAGAGGTACTAAAACGTTATTCTCGGATATTTCTGTCGATAAATCATATATAATAAAAAAGGTGAGGGAGCGTTGGAGATTGTTTGGAGGGTTTTATTTTTGGCGGTAGTTTGGTTTATGTATTTTTTCGGTTATTTTGTTCAAGTTTAGCTTCACTTCTCCGATATATTATGCTGATTTTTTATTTATTTATTCACAGGATGAGGGAAAGTCAAGTGTGACTCAAGTTGACTCAAGTAGTGGCTTAATATGTTGTTAAAGTTGTAAATCAAAATTGCTGCAATTATGATTCAAGTTATGGCTCAAGTTGACTCAAGTTACCACTTAAATTCTCTCAAATTACGACTTAAATTATGACTGTAATTTAATCCAATGTATGACTCAAGTTGATTCAAGGTGCTATTCAAAATTGCTCAAGTTATGACTTGAATTATGATTCTAGGAATCGCTCAAATTTTTATCCAATGTGTGGCTCAAGTTGACTCAAGTCGTTACTCAAAATCGCTCAAGTTGTCACTCGATTAAGTTATGACTCAAGTAGTAACTCAAGATGTTGCTCAAGCTGTGACTCAAAATCACTCAAATTATACCCCGAGCTGAGTTTCAAGTTGTGAGTAAAAACGGCTCAAGTTATAATCTCAATTATTCCTCAAGTGTTTACCCAAGTCGAAATTCAAGTTGACTCAAGTTATAGCACAAGTTACTGTTCAAGTTATGATTCAAATTATTACTCAAGTTGTGGATCAATCACGACACACGTCAATGCTTGAACCGACATAAACGTCGCACCAAAATGTCCCGAAAAAAAATTTCCATCGACAATTTGCCCCTGAAATCAATCACAAACTTCCTAATTTCCGCCTGAAACCCCTCACAAACTGCGTACCCAGCAAAACCGTCGAACATTCAAAGAGTATAATCTCCTCATGTTCAAGCCATATCTCTTGACAATTCCCCCAACCCTAGTGTTCTCCTAATAACTTTAATAACTCCTCAAAGAAGGCATTTGTCCCCGGTAACTTTGCACTCAAAACTCCCCTTAATTATTTTAAAAATCCCATAAACTATAAAAATCTCATCTCATCAATTCCCCCCGTGCAGAAAGGGGGGGCGGGGGGGAATTGAAAATAATAAGTTGGATGGACGTGGAAGCAAAGTTGAGCTTCTGCTAAATGGCAATCGTGGCTGGTAGAATACATTTTTAAGTTTCCACTTTCCATAAGTTCATCCTTATTTTCCCGCCCTCCCCCTTCCTCTCCGTCACCCGCCCCCGCCCCACCCCCTCAGCTTTACTCACCGCTCAGTGAAGTCTTGAAGTCTGGCTAGCCCATTACCGATAGAGCCTCGCTGACATAATCGAAAATCGATTCCATCTCACCTCCTCATGCCGCGTCCTCTCACCCACTATCTTCACCACCGCTTCACGTCTCAGCCATGTACCTCGGTTCTACTCACGTTCTAGGTGACGCAAAACGAGGATTCATCCGAGCTGGGATAAGGGGTAAATCCTACCTGGACCCATGATGCAACAATTTTCTTTGACCAGACTGAGGAAAGAATGAGGAGAGGTGTGGCGGAATAATATAATAAATTCAATATACTGTGGTTTTTTGCTGGTATTGAGCAGTCACTGACGAAGAATTTTCTGGTTGTCTATTTATTTCGGGGAAAAATCGAATGGAAATTTCAAGTGGTTTGATTTTTCCACGAAATTCGGAATTTTCAATGACCAAATTCCTTGAAATTTCGGTGGTAATTAAATTCGATAAAAATTTCCGAAAAATTTTTAACAGTGCACCATTTTCTTTTTGCATCACTCATTCACACGCACGGAGAAAAATGTTTAGTAAAAATTACGGAACTCACAATTCACTCACCGATTACGGAATCGATTCAGAAAATTTGAGTGATGGTATCGTAATTTTTTACAGGAGATTCAGATAAAAATTACGCAACGCTCTGTGAAACTTCCGTGACAGTTCCGTAAAATTTCTTACAACCACATTTCGCTCCGGAATTACGGAAAAGATCCGTAATTTTTATTAAATATTTCTCTCCGTGCACTCTACGAGAATATTTTCACTCTATTCCACTCTCAATTGCTGGCAAACCCCATAAAAAAAATCCCGAAGTTCAGTTAAACAAATGAAGAAAAAAAAATCAAATTATCTTTACGATATTCCGCAGTATTTTTTTCCAACTCATTTGATCCTTTTTCATTTTTACTCCTCTGAAGTTTAAAGGATGGGGTGGGGTGTCGGTAAGGGGGGAGAGAAGCGGGGAGTACGAGGCCACGCTCTCGCCGTGTTGTCGACCCAAAACGATGCCTGTTCCTCCATTTTTTATGATTTTTTTTATTTCATTTTTTTCTTGAAGCACCGAGGGATCGCAAGCAATATTCGTTCGTGAAAAGTTCTCCAGTCTCGTGAGTGGAGAATAGCGAGAATGGGGGGAGAGGGCTGAGGGTGGAGAGGAAAATTGCCCCGCGTTATCGTTGTCGCTTGTGCCATTACGATTCAACTGATTTTTTCACGTTTCTGTTGGTTATTTATTTTTATTTATTTTTTTATGGCTGAATGGAGCATTGTATTCCGTGAATTTAAGATTTTGATGTGTTAAGGGTTGATGAGTGACTTGATATTCAGAAATAAAAACTGAGGATAGGTTTAATAAAGGGTTCAACGGGCTTAAAGGTCAACAAGTCCAGATTTATGCGCTAATAATTGAAAGAATTAAAAAGCAAACATGAAATTCGTGTGAGGAAAACACCTTAATGTCGCAAAAAAACTAGAGAGAATTACTAACAAAGTCATACACGATTATATGTACGAGAAAACGGTTTAAGACTATGACCTACCGAATTGAATTTAACACAATATGTTAAATTTCATTTTAAAAAATCGTTTTCTCGAAAGAATGTTGGCAAACTGAGGTTGATATTGCGCCTTAAGAAAAACTCTTGGTGTATTTTACAAACTCTGATCTATTTGAATATCCATGAATGACCCAAAAAAGGCAAAACTGTTCATCAAACCCAACATCCTCAACCCACAGGTTGAAGTACAAATGCAGAAGGTTGAATTTTTTCTCGAAATTATCATTACAATTCAAATCACTTGAAAATAATGTTCCATTAAGGGCTGTCCAAGCCATTCTCTCGCCATGCTAATAGGGTATTCATATCGCTGATGCCGCGAGTGCTCCACGGCTCAAGTGGATCCGTGGGCGATGACGGTGTCATGGCGCCATTTTTCTTACTATTTTCATGGACATCGGTAATTAATTTTGATGGTGCAACCCTGTAATAGAAAGAATAACAATTGTATTTTGCATTTCAATTGAAGAATCCTGAGCGGCTGCATCCTTGATGCAGCAGTTAGACTTAACGTGAACACGTCTAGGTTGTTATTCATGTGCGGGTGCGTCGGCCTGTTCGGTTCTTGTGAACTGAGTTGAATTTTTTAGAAAATGTGCGTATCCTCTAGAGAATCTGACAATTTTCTCAAATTTCCTGTACGAGATCGGCCACGCGTGGCGCTTCGGTTTCAGTCTTACGCTTACGCTTATTCGAGATTTTCGAGATATTTCGAGATCGATTTCCTTTCTCCGTTTTACGATAGAATAGGATAACAGATGGCACTGGCCGTTAGGGACAACTTCGCGATTAAGTCCCAATACGAAATTAAAAACGTGCCCTCGTCAAAAAACAAATGTGGCCGTCGGCATGAAAAGAGCCCAGTTTGTCGATATGGGGTGAGTTATACTCCGATAATATTGATAACATTACGCAAACTTTGTTTATTTGCATTGTCATTTGTATCAAATGAATGCATTATTCATTCCATATCGTTGAAATAAATATATGATTAATTTCCACCAGAAATTCTGGTGAAATAAATAAAAAAACTTCAAATAAAAAGTTCTACTCGCTTCACATGCATCAGTCCTCTGCTCTATGCGCTGGGAAATTTTGACATGCATTGTTGAATATATCTACAACAACTATTCAAAATTATCCAAAACCACAAAAAATGTTTACTATTACTACAACACTAAAAAACGTAATCACCAAAAATACGCTGCCACCCATTCGTTAATCAATTTTTAATATTCATTACCTGTTCTTGGCGGTTTTGGGACGACGCTCGTGATTCTTATTTTTATTTATTTATTTATTGCATATTATTGGAACATGTTCATTAAAATGGATGCAAAAAGTTCAAATAAAAAGTTCTACTCGCTTCACATGCATCAGTCCTCTGCTCTATGCGCTGGGAAATTTTGACATGCATTGTGGAATATATCTACAGCAACTATTCAAAATTGTCCAAAACCACAAAAAATGTTTACTATTACTACAACACTAAAAAACGTAATCACCAAAAATACGCTGCCACCCATTCGTTAATGAATTTTTAATATTCATTACCTGTTCTTGGCGGTTTTGGGACGACGCTCGTGATTCTTATTTTTATTTATTTATTTATTGCATATTATTGGAACATGTTCATTAAAATGGATGCAAAAAGTTCAAATAAAAAGTTCTACTCGCTTCACATGCATCAGTCCTCTGCTCTATGCGCTGGGAAATTTTGACATGCATTGTGGAATATATCTACAACAACTCTTCAAAATTGTCCAAAACCACAAAAAATGTTTACTATTACTACAACACTAAAAAACGTAATCACCAAAAATACGCTGCCACCCATTCGTTAATCAATTTTTAATATTCATTACCTGTTCTTGGCGGTTTTGGGACGACGCTCGTGATTCTTATTTTTATTTATTTATTTATTGCATATTATTGGAACATGTTCATTAAAATGGATGCAAAAAGTTCAAATAAAAAGTTCTACTCGTTTCACATGCATCAGTCCTCTGCTCTATGCACTGGGAAATTTTGACATGCATTGTGGAATATATCTACAACAACTCTTCAAAATTGTCGAAAACCGCAAAAAATGTTTACTATTACTACAACACTAAAAAACGTAATCACCAAAAATACGCTGCCACCCATTCGTTAATCAATTTTTAATATTCATTACCTGTTCTTGGCGGTTTTGGGACGACGCTTGTGATGCTTATTGACACGATGTTCCCCATTCTTTTCATTCTGCCGGCAATCATCGGGATTAGTTTTGTTATCTGGCGTCTGCTGGAGATCCGGGAATCCATTGACTTGGGTCGGGGGAGTCGGGAGTGGCTGTGTGGAGTGGCGGGAGGGGTACGTGGGCTGTTCGTCGGCGGATGAGGAGGATTCTAGGGTGGCTGGACGGCTTGAACGGCGCTGATGGGCTGATGAGGAGTAACGCAGGCTCGCTGAACGAATACGACGCAGACGGGATTCAGCTCCCAAGAGATTTGAGCCTGAAATTGGAATTATTATTTGTGGAGGTTGCGGAGTGAATGGCGGTGGTGTTCATTTTATGGCGGGGGTTCGAGGGTTTATTGGGCCATTTTTGGTGGGGAGGATTGAAGAAAATGGAGAATATTGATTTTTTATGCGGGGAAATTATTGTAAAGATTGAATTGCTCATGAGTTGATCTTTTTATAACACTAAATTGTATAAATTTCTTTTCTCATTTCAAATATTTGTAATTGTTCGTTCTGGTTTTGAAGGATTGGAAAAGTTGTGAGAAATACAGAATATTTATGTTTGAACATGTGGAATTTTTTTTCAATTCATAAAATTAAATATTTCAATTTTTTCTTCTTTGTTTTTCTTGTTAAAATTTGCGAGATAAAATTCAACATTTCTATTGAAATAGAATCGGCGAAAAACTAATAGAAATATCAATACAATGTGAATAGTTACATCGCAATGCGTTCATTATTTCCATACCATTTATATAAACAAATAAATAAGTTTAATAGAAATCCAATAGTATTTACGATCGAATTTTTTTGTGCTTTAATTTCTTTCAATCTGATATTTTTTTCTCTCTCTCTCTGGAGAGTGATTTTTATTTGAGGTGTACTCACTGCCGCATATGTCATTGTCACTGGATTCAGCCATGTACTTCTTCTCCTTGGTTTCTGGCTCGGGATTGCCCCCTGGGGCGATAAAATTACCGAGGCCAAAAGTCTCCAGTATTTGTGAATCGAGGGCCACTTTTGGCTCACTGGCTATTCTCGCCTCCTTCGCCATTTTGAGTAGTTGCTCTTTGTGTGAGTCCGGCGACTCCGAGGCGATCACCAGATTCAGGAGAGGATCGAGTTTATCGGTATTTTCATGATTTTTTTGCAGCGATGACGATAACTTGACGGTATTTTCAATTCCTGTATTTTTAACTGGAACAGATTGAAAGAGAAATGATTTTGGAAAAACGTTGTCAACAATTTTTGGCAGAGATACACTTCCCGGAAATCTTCCAAGGAAATTCAATTAATGAGATGGATTTCATTATTAATTAGATGAGTATTCAATGATGTCTACCTATAATTACTGATTAATTGAGTAACAGAAACTTTTTATTCCTGATTATCATCATAGAATGAAATTTCGATAATCATTGTCCATTGTCACAGTAATGAATATTTTGACGGTTAACATTACCCACTAACAGAATACTGAAAATATTTTTGTATTCATTATTATTTTTTTATTATTCATATGTATTCATTATTGATTGAATGACTACTCTAAAATATTCAAGTGTAATTCCTGATGAGATGAATAATCGCTAATAATTCATTCTATTCATCTCTTCTTCTCATCAAGAAAATCAAACAAAACTACGGAGAAAGTTCTGCAGATAATCTACTACTGACAGGCAATATCGTAATTGAAGCACAATAGGTGCTAAAGTACATTACACGGGCAATTGTTGTTAATTTTTCATGGGTATAAATCTGACATTCAACTGAAATAAAAAGCTCTAGCGAATGTGTATTGTTATTCAGCTCCTGGTGGACGCCAAAAATCCTAAAAAAATAGCCCCATTGAGGAACGAGCCACAACTATTAGGACATTTTACTCAAAAGAATTACAATTATTTGAAATAATTGAGTTTTGAGAAAAGAGTCGAATTCAAATAAGCGTGCAATTATTTCAGCGTCTTCATATGTTCAAAATATCTTGAATATATTTAATGAATTTCGATCGCCATTCAATTTCGGAAAAGAGAAGGAAAATAGAGTGAAAAAACTTGAAAAATTGGAGCCGAGGAAATTCTGTAATAAATATCTCAATAGAATAAGTTGTACAGAAGAATCGGATTCTACCGATTTTTTCTACAGAATATTTTCTATTTAATATTTCAAAATTCAATAGAAATCGAATATAATTGTCTAGAGAATTCGCTAGATTTTCCTTTTAAATTTTTTCGTACGTGTCTTTGCAAATGAGAGATGCAAGCGGAATAATCGTAAAGGCCAGAGAAAAATCATCAAAGTCGATCCTTTGTAAGTGATCATTTCAACCAGCGATGTTTTTAAAACATTACAGGAGGTGATAATTCTACAAATTCCGCATATTTATGCTTGCAGGATGGCCTCGGAAATTTATAGCCTCAGCGAGTCTTATCGCACTCCACGTGTTTCACAAATTTGCATCAAATTTTGCTGAGTTAGAAGGACGAAATTAAATCACTGCTACAATGAGCACTGCCACTTGTCTTTGTCGTGATTGATTCCGTGAAAAAAATCATTAACGGTAATTTCAAGCATCAAAAGAGATGCTGTCAACCTAATGAGTAAAATTTGCAAAAATTTTGTATTTTTTGAAAATCGGAATTCCGGGGATATCTTGGGATATCATGCTTCAAATGAATTCAATTTCATTTCGCCAAGTATACACTAGACTTGGGAATATTTCTAGACTAGTGAATAGAAATTTGTCTTACGAATAAAAATATTTATCATCATACCGTTCTACTCAAAGGCCAACTCGTACGCCATCGAGGAACGTAGTAAAGTTGAAGAATAATAAACAAGGATTGTACCAGTACTGATAACCATTGTAATTAGTCGAAAATAATTGTAAAAGTGTTATTGAACCGAAATAAAAAGCTATACCAAACGATCAGAGTGGACATAATGAATGGCTCTTCTCATTTCTGTGGCTCATTAATACCTTGTGGTCCCCAGAATATTAGAAAATGAAGAACAATAATAATTTATTGTCAAATCGCGACGTTTTGCTGGTTATTTAAACTACCTCAGGCTCTTGACAATTTGAGTACGTAGTCATTGTAATGTATGAACGAGAAGAATCAGAATTCAGTAGATAATAGATATAACGCATATCCACGGATGATAGAAGTAGAATATCAAGAATGCGTGTAATAAATAAGTATTGAGAGCAATAACAAGACAAGAGCACAACTGCTTCGTTGTTCCCGAAAAAATTATAATGAATGTGTATTATCATTCGCTTCCGGATAGATTTCAAACCCCTTCCGAAGTAGAGATATCGATGGTAAAAAGAATTGAATGAATTTGGAAGCATGATGAAAATTGACGCCTCCATTGAGAGAGATTTTCCAAATTTGGAGGAATATGTAATTTCTTCTGCACATCCATATGTAAAAATCTATTCAAATATGTATTCGTCTATTGATAAAAATAATGATCATCATTCACGCTGGATACGAATGCGGAAGAAGAACAAGCAAGTTGGCGCGTCATGAAAATTTCCAAGGTTTTCAGCATTTGATGGTTAGTGTTAAATTTTTGGTATCTCAATCAAAATATCATTCCTGGTTCTCATTTTTGAAGGAGGGGAAAAACAAATAGAGAAATCTTCCCAGATTGATACGCTTTCGTCAAAAAATTGAGAAAGTTATTCCAAATCTTCACTTGAAATCTTAGAATGGGCTTATCAAACAAAAGTCCGGAAACAATGCTTATATTATATTACTTTGCAAGGCTACAATATGACTCATCGATATTGCAAGTCCACCTATGGAGACAACGTAGAATATTTATAGTTTTTTTTGTGTATATAAGGCATCTTACCCAAAAGGAAACGTTAGTTCGGAAAAATTTTCATCCGAAATTAAAATTTTCATCTGAAAATGAAGAACACCATTGAGCAATTGTGCCTGTTCATCTGCTGTTTCCAGATACTTCAGGTGAGCCTTAAGATATTTCGTACTAGTGGGAGAATTATTGTGCAAAACTTCATCGGGTATTGATCAAGGGTCATAAGGAGCCGACGTTCCCGCCGAGATCTCAATCGAACCCGAGGAAATTTCTCCTCAGCTGACTGAAATTCTATCATCATTCGACCAATTGGTTTGACTTCAAATTCTGATGTTACAGGTATCTGCTCACGAGGTCTGTGTAATACTCACGCAGGCAGAGAGTGGAAACTCCATTGAAATTCCGGCGAACAGTCATGTGGAAGGTTTACATAAGTCTCGCTGGTACGAGAAAATCAATTGGAAAAATTTTACCTATGGGCCCCTGACTGTTAGTAATATTTACCTCATGAAATTCATTTTGTCCATATTCTACACATGTCGCTTGACTAATATATTTTTCATTCAACTGCGCATCATTACTTCTTTGCACCCGTATTGTGCATGGTAGTTATCATACAGCGTTCAACGATGGGAGACATACTGGTTCAGTGCTGATGATTGGGAACAAGTGACAAGCGGTTCTTTAGATATCTGCCAAACGTCTCATGGTGAACCTGAGAGCTGGGGAAAATTTGTACGAGAACTGCTCGGATTGCGTTGGGGATACGGATGCCCAATAGCACCGGTAAGAAATTGCATCTCATTCATTCGTTTATCACTGGAAATGCAGCAATTTTCGGTTGGCATGTGCCTAATGTTGAAGAAATTGCTGATAGTTGATCGTTTTTTTGTTCATTCCAAGGGTGAGCGGCCAATCGAGGGCCAACTCTTGCATCCTACACAGTGCAGATTGATGATATGGGATAATCACCTCACAAGTAACAAGTACAGAATTTTCCTCAAAGTGACAGATACTCATAACACTGTGCTTTTGAAAGGCCAAGTCATACGGCCAATACCATCGTAATAACGTCATATGCGTTGAATATTAATTAATAATAAACAAAGATTGTACTAATACTGAGAATCATGTAACTGATATCAAGTAATTGTAAAAGTGCTATTCAACGGAAATAAAAAGCTGTGCTAAGCGATCTACGTGGACATAGTGCATGGCCCTTCTCATTTCTATAGCTCATTAATAAGTTGTGGCTCCCAGGATATTAGAAAATAAAAAATAAAAAATAATACCAATTTATTGTCAAATCACGACGATTATAATGTGTGAACGAGAAGAATCAGAATTCAGGAGATAATAAATAAGTATTGAGCGCAATGACAAAACAAGAGCACCACCAGCTACAACGAATGTATATATCAGTGTTGGACAGAAAAGTATTTACTAAATACTGAATAATTAAATACTGGAATATTTATAATTTTGTTACTATCTCATTACTAAGTACGAAAGTTTCCAGTATTTATTATTAGTCCATTAAAGTGTATTTAATATTTAGTTTTTCTCTGAGCATGAGAGCAATTTAAATAAATTTTTATAAAATTTGACGCGTGTGTTTCTTTTTATCGAACGAATTGTAAAATATTCTCCTCAATTTGCCTCAATTTTCTGGGTAATTTTTATTCAACTTTTCTCTCCGCGTAAATTTACCTTTTGTAACAGTTGCCTGCTCCTCGATTTTGTGATTTGTATCGCAAGACTGCACTTGAGTATCGGTTTGATTTGCAGTTGTTGAGGTGGACATTGGAACTTTGGCCTGTTGTGACTTTGCTTTGGATGCAGCATCTGTAGTTGGTATTCCCTCGGTAGCACTAGCCAGGTCAATGTCGTGGGCAAAGGCCATTACATCTAGTGCTGCAGTCAGAGCATCACCAAAGGCACCAGTCACGCCCGCTGACGCTGAGATTTCTGGCTCACCCATGTGAGGACTGAATACAAAACGTCAAAGAAAACAGACGGTGAAATGGCTGTTAGAGGGAAACATTGAGAGAGTTGACAAGTGTTTCTGTCGTTATATTTTACCTAGCTAGAATGAATCTGAAGTAAAGATAAAATCAAAATCTCTTCACTCTTCAAAGCAAGTTCCTTGATTATCTTGAGAATTCCGTAACAAAAAATTACTCAACTGGAGTGTTTGGAACCGGAAATTTCGGTGGATAGCCAACGACTGCCCCATTCCCTCTACCTCTACGGGTCTCAAGATAATCGCATTTTTGATAAGCGAATCATTTTTTCAGGCCAATAATTTATTCAAAGAACAATGAAATGAATACCTTCGCCTCACTGGTGTTGAAATGGACGCTCTGCCCCACATAATGCACCTGAGCTCCTCTCCACTCATTCCCCTCTTCTTCAATTCAGCAATTGTTACTTTGCCAACTCGCTGGAAAACGAATACAAGTGGGTAATTGCATATTTTCGTCGGCAGTATCACTACTTTCTCTGGTAAATTTGCACTTTGCGCTCCGAATGACTGTAATATTACGCTTGACCGTGCTATTTTCTTGCTTATAATTTCAAACAAATCAGAGTTCACCCAAATTGTCAGGCGTAAGTGAAAACAAATAGAAAACGAATAAACACGGATACTATAATTAAGTAACTCTCAACCGTAAAAATATGAAATGAACCGGAAAGTCATTGGAGGAATGGTGTCAGTGAGTAAAGGTCACTTAGCCGCAAGTAAGTTGGCTACAGCCATACCTTCCAATTAGCGACAGCGCCTTTTCTCTGTCTTGCCCTAGTCTTGGATTTGCTCTTTATCACCATGACACCTCGTTGCTCCGAGGCTGGATTATTCGGGTCGTCGCCCGGACCCAACTTTATGCTGTACTCTTGAAGATAATTGTGGGCGTCTTTCTGCGACACAGCTCGCTCCAGCGATACCACAATTTTCGCCCACTTGCGAAGTAGATGACGTGAAAGAAAAATTTTGAGGTGATGGTTAATTAGCATTTCAAGGGTTGGATTCATCACTTTTTAAAAGTTTAATACGATTATCTTGAAACCGACAGGTAATAAATGACAGTGAGGGACATTTCCGATCCTGGGGGAAAAAACCGAATATGTTGAGTAGGGAAAAATTTAAGAATGAAAGAAAAAAACCCTATTTCATTACTTGAGTGCATTCAACATTTTAAAGGTATTTATTAGCATATATAACAATCAAGTACATTGAGTAACAGTATCACAATGAGCTTGGACTTGAGAATGTAAGTACAGCTCCGGCTCGAAGGCTATTACATGTATTTTGCATAAAGATTGCGATTTTTTTGTGGCGCTCAAGGAGTATGGGAAAAGAAACAGAATATATTGCGTAGGGAAAAATTTAAGGATCAAAGAAAAAAAAATCTTATCTCATGAGGAGTATCGAGGGGACAAGTCTTCGAGTGCGTTTTTAAAACAATTAGAAACGTTTTCTGCTGTAACTCCAAAAGTTGTGGGGCAAAATGCCTTCAATTGTGGGATATGGGATCGGAAATTTTCCTGGCTATCCAAAGATACCATTGTCATCCACCTCCCCCACCCCCTTCAATGAAAAACGGAGAGATAAAGTATGCCACTATTTTTGTTCGTTACACACCTGCTTCACGAATTCCTTCTCACTCTGCTCAATAACATGTGCATAAGTGTTTCCCATCATGGCGATCAACATGTTGAGAAGAAGAATGGGTACAAGGACCATAAATATAGCGAACACAGTCTTACTCAAATTCGGATATGCCGTATCACTCAAATCTCCATACTGCAAGAAACGAGTAGAACGATTTATTTTTCACTCACCCCACCATAATGGATTTATTTTTCTACGTGAACTGCACTATCCCACAAGATGAATCCAGTAATCGGGTAATATTTCGAGCAGACGGGCGATATTTTATCCACGTCGTCGACTTATGACCCGATTGGAAACGCCCAAGATGTCTAATAAAATTTTTTTTCCCCCTCACACGTACATCAATACCAAAGTTTTGTGGAAGTTGTAAGTATTATTCCGAAGTTTGCAAATTTGACGGTATCAATTTGTGATTCGTTCCCGTCACGAGGTATTTCCGCAAGATTTTTAATTAAAACTCTGAAAGTTTCTCTCAGAAGAGCATCAAGATTTTCAGTTCAACTCACACTGTAATCCCCCAATGTGATCTGAAACAGGGCCATCCAAGTCGAGTGATAAGAGTGATAGAGGCTGGACTGGACCCTGGGGAAGCCCTTGTAGAGAAAATGAAAGGACTGGGAGAATCCAAACAGGACAACCATGTAGATGATGCCGAAGGTCAACATATCTCCCGTTATCATGCTGTAGACCATAGTGACGAACGGCCCCGTCAGCCTCACAGCTCTGCAACAGATAAACCGTTTTACCCCACGCCACCCTCAAACTTCCATTACGAATCCCCATTAGTCCCTCCTCATTATTATCATTATCAGCATTTGTGATTGTCTCTGAGGCACCTCTGAAATCCCGTGAAATCGATGGCCAATCAAAATACAACCCCCTCCACGTCTGCTCCATTACCTAACTTATGCACATGCATATCCTAATCTACCTTTGTACATCCTTCTCTCTCACTATCCAAATACCAAAATTGTACGCATGTAATGTACGCCGTTGTATATGCATACCGTGCATTTATGCCAAACGAGATTCACATCGGGCTAGTACATATATCGGTGGGCGGTGTTACACAAATATACATAGTGAACGCTTACGATTTATGTTAAATGTCCAAATGCAACGCGTTGTGTTGATTAATAACGTGCTGGATTGTGGAGAGGTGGGGAGGGTTGTTATACTGATTTTATCGGCAAATTCAATTTATATCGCGATATCCGTTTTGTGGTTTTATCGGGAATGATGGGGGATACATGATAAAATTTCTTTTGGGGGGGGGGGGATTTAATTATTATTGATTGGGTGGGGGAGGTTGATGATTGTGAGGGACGGAGGTGGAGTGAAATATTTACGAGGAGCGGGTGAATGGTCGATTCTCGTGCGGACATTTTATATTTAGTTCAGTATAACGTAGTAATGTGCAGGGCGACGTCTAGACAAGTGCAGGTACAGGGATAGCAAGATGTAGAAAAGTTTAGTAAGGTATGGATAACAAGGCATCGGAAAGCTTAGCAAAGTATATCAAGGCATAGTAAAGTTCAACAAAGTATAACAAAGTACGGCAAGGTGTGCATAACAAGGCATCAGAAAGCTCAGCAAAGTATAGCAAGTCATAGAAAAGTATAAGAAGTTGCGGCAAGGTATAGTAAAGTTCAACAAAGTATAACAAAGTACGGCAAAACATGGCAAAGTATAACAAGTCATAGTAAAGTTCCACAAAGTACAGCAAGGCAAAGTATAACACGACATAGCAAAGTATAAGAAGGTATGGCAAAGTATAAAAAGGCGTAGGAAAGCTCCACAAGATACTTTAAAGTATGGGAAGGTCTGGATAGACAAGTGCAGTAAAAGTGATAGCAAGATTTAGAAAAGTTTAGTAAGGTATGGATAACAAGACATCGGAAAGCTCAGCAAAGTATATCAAGGCATAGTAAAGTTCAACAAAGTATAACAAAGTACGGCAAAACATGGCAAAGTATAACAAGTCATAGTAAAGTTCCACAAAGTACAGCAAGGCAAAGTATAACACGACATAGCAAAGTATAAGAAGGTATGGCAAAGTATAAAAAGGCGTAGGAAAGCTCCACAAGATACTTTAAAGTATGGGAAGGTCTGGATAGACAAGTGCAGTAAAAGTGATAGCAAGATTTAGAAAAGTTTAGTAAGGTATGGATAACAAGACATCGGAAAGCTCAGCAAAGTATATCAAGGCATAGTAAAGTTCAACAAAGTATAACAAAGTACGGCAAAACATGGCAAAGTATAACAAGTCATAGTAAAGTTCCACAAAGTACAGCAAGGCAAAGTATAACACGACATAGCAAAGTATAAGAAGGTATGGCAAAGTATAAAAAGGCGTAGGAAAGCTCCACAAGATACTTTAAAGTATGGGAAGGTCTGGATAGACAAGTGCAGTAAAAGTGATAGCAAGATTTAGAAAAGTTTGGTAAGGTATGGATAACAAGACATCGGAAAGCTCAGCAAAGTATATCAAGGCATAGTAAAGTTCAACAAAGTATAACAAAGTACGGCAAAACATGGCAAAGTATAACAAGTCATAGTAAAGTTCCACAAAGTACAGCAAGGCAAAGTATAACACGACATAGCAAAGTATAAGAAGGTATGGCAAAGTATAAAAAGGCGTAGGAAAGCTCCACAAGATACTTTAAAGTATGGGAAGGTCTGGATAGACAAGTGCAGTAAAAGTGATAGCAAGATTTAGAAAAGTTTAGTAAGGTATGGATAACAAGACATCGGAAAGCTCAGCAAAGTATATCAAGGCATAGTAAAGTTCAACAAAGTATAACAAAGTACGGCAAAACATGGCAAAGTATAACAAGTCATAGTAAAGTTCCACAAAGTACAGCAAGGCAAAGTATAACACGACATAGCAAAGTATAAGAAGGTATGGCAAAGTATAAAAAGGCGTAGGAAAGCTCCACAAGATACTTTAAAGTATGGGAAGGTCTGGATAGACAAGTGCAGTAAAAGTGATAGCAAGATTTAGAAAAGTTTAGTAAGGTATGGATAACAAGACATCGGAAAGCTCAGCAAAGTATATCAAGGCATAGTAAAGTTCAACAAAGTATAACAAAGTACGGCAAAACATGGCAAAGTATAACAAGTCATAGTAAAGTTCCACAAAGTACAGCAAGGCAAAGTATAACACGACATAGCAAAGTATAAGAAGGTATGGCAAAGTATAAAAAGGCGTAGGAAAGCTCCACAAGATACTTTAAAGTATGGGAAGGTCTGGATAGACAAGTGCAGTAAAAGTGATAGCAAGATTTAGAAAAGTTTAGTAAGGTATGGATAACAAGACATCGGAAAGCTCAGCAAAGTATATCAAGGCATAGTAAAGTTCAACAAAGTATAACAAAGTACGGCAAAACATGGCAAAGTATAACAAGTCATAGTAAAGTTCCACAAAGTACAGCAAGGCAAAGTATAACACGACATAGCAAAGTATAAGAAGGTATGGCAAAGTATAAAAAGGCGTAGGAAAGCTCCACAAGATACTTTAAAGTATGGGAAGGTCTGGATAGACAAGTGCAGTAAAAGTGATAGCAAGATTTAGAAAAGTTTAGTAAGGTATGGATAACAAGACATCGGAAAGCTCAGCAAAGTATATCAAGGCATAGTAAAGTTCAACAAAGTATAACAAAGTACGGCAAAACATGGCAAAGTATAACAAGTCATAGTAAAGTTCCACAAAGTACAGCAAGGCAAAGTATAACACGACATAGCAAAGTATAAGAAGGTATGGCAAAGTATAAAAAGGCGTAGGAAAGCTCCACAAGATACTTTAAAGTATGGGAAGGTCTGGATAGACAAGTGCAGTAAAAGTGATAGCAAGATTTAGAAAAGTTTAGTAAGGTATGGATAACAAGACATCGGAAAGCTTAGCAAAGTATATCAAGGCATAGTAAAGTTCAACAAAGTATAACAAAGTACGGCAAAACATGGCAAAGTATAACAAGTCATAGTAAAGTTCCACAAAGTACAGCAAGGCAAAGTATAACACGACATAGCAAAGTATAAGAAGGTATGGCAAAGTATAAAAAGGCGTAGGAAAGCTCCACAAGATACTTTAAAGTATGGGAAGGTCTGGATAGACAAGTGCAGTAAAAGTGATAGCAAGATTTAGAAAAGTTTGGTAAGGTATGGATAACAAGACATCGGAAAGCTCAGCAAAGTATATCAAGGCATAGTAAAGTTCAACAAAGTATAACACGACATAGCAAAGTATAAGAAGGTATGGCAAAGTATAAAAAGGCGTAGGAAAGCTCCACAAGATACTTTGAAGTATGGGAAGGTCTGGATAGACAAGTGCAGTAAAAGAGATAGCAAGATTTAGAAAAGTTTGGTAAGGTATGGATAACAAGGCATCGGAAAGCTCAGCAAAGTATATCAAGGCATAGTAAGGTTCAACAAAGTATAACAAAGTACGACAAGTTGTGGAAAAGTATAACAAGTCATAGTAAAATTCCACAAAGTACAGCAAGGCAAAGTATAACACGACATAGCAAAGTATAAGAAGGTGTGGCAAAGTATAAAAAGGCGTAGGAAAGCTCCACAAGATACTTTGAAATATAGGAAGGTCTGGCAAAGTATGGTATAAATATCATTTGTTATATAACTTGGAAAAATAAATCGATGACAGAAAGCGCCTCATCATTTTCCACATGAGGGATGATTCGAACTTTACGAACAACATTCAAGTTTTATCCTTCCGCCCATTATTATGTAATAATGATTATGATTTTCAACACATTTTCCATAGAATAGATAATTTCGTCCTTTTGTAATTTGCGAACTTCTCTCCAGTGAATCAATTTACTCATACACTCTACGCTTCCCCCCGCAATGACAAAGTCATCACCACTCGACGTCAATGCTCCTGACGTAGACATGACAGACAGAAACACATTGACTGATCATGGAGTTTGACGTGATTACTCCCATTGATTCTCGGAAATTCAACGTAAGGGGGATGTGAAAGTCGGAATTATTATCTTCAAATGTGGATAATCTGATGATGATGAAGAGTCATCGATTAATAATTCACTCAATCTGCCAACGAGCCATGTGGCGTCAATCGGTACTCGTATCTCCAGTGTCCCTTCCCCTCCACTGTCTATCGGTTCTCCTCAACAATTTGAATTACGTCCGAGTGATTCTCCACGGGTGGGGCATCATGATTAATGCTATGATTTTCCAATCAAATGGATCTGGTCATTGGGTATCATGCATTAACAATTCGCTGGGGGAGTGGTAGAACTGGCTTGATTTAATAGAATATTTAGGGAATTGATGAATTCTGTCGTCACGGCTGGATTTAGCAGAAAGTGTCAGAAAAGCTTTTTTGTAGCTCAGAAAATTCTCTACAAAAAAGCTCTTTTCACGATTTTTGCTACCTCCACTCGTTACCGAGATAATTTGATGAGTAAATAGTGATGAAGGAAAAGTTGAATTTTTAATAATGATGATTATTTCGAAAATGATCAGAGATACGAAAAAACATCAGTTGACCTTTTTTGTAGCTATGGAGATTTCCAACAAAAAATTTTCTATAAAATTTTTTCGTAAATCTCTTCATTCGAGAGATAATATCGCAATTATCAACTAGTACCACTCCGCCATCAAATTCCTAATTTCCACCTTCATCTGAGGAATTAAATTCCGAATTTATCAATTTTCCTCTACTTCAGCCATTTTTTCCGTTTACATCTGTTGCCTTTCATGACGTCAAAGTACCTGGACGACAGTTGGATGGAATTTTGAAGAATACGCGGTTGAACAGGAGAAAGATGAACGGCTGCGACACACACACATACCGACAAGTTACATCGAGAGATCGCTCACGTGATTGGCATATCAAATCACAAAGTCATGGGTTCTCTCCTCGAGGAAAACTCCTCCATCCGTAGGTAAGTTTCCAATAAGTTTTTTAATACTCTTTTTTCTTCAAAGAATCTGTCAACTTTCTATTTCAATATCGAGCTTTTAGAGCAGCAGAGGGGGATTTCTAAAATCTTTCCTTGCTACAACTTCACAGAATCTTGATAATGATAAAATGACTCGCGAATCATCTTCTTTAAAGGATCTCTTAAAACGCGGCGATTGCAAAAAGCAGTGAATGACAGCAACAGTGGAATGGAGGTGATCTCATTGGAGAGCTCGGGAAATTTCCGATTCCAAACACCCCAATTACGTCGATTTTCGTTAATTAGTTGTGGAGATAATTGGAAAAATAGTTTTCCGACTTCGAGAAAACTGTTTTTGTTCTCACGCCGAGTTTTCCAGCGAAAATTTCCCCCGACAATTCGCCTGTTCATTAAAAAAAAATTGTCCAATGCTCGGAAAATATTTTCGATTAATTAAAAATTCTCACCCAGCAAAGAACATGAGTAGAAACCACGAGCCGGGCACAGCAACAACGAGAATGGCATCCTCAGCGTGTCGATTACCAGCTAAACGACATGGTATACAAGCCAGTATAAGTAGATTGCTGATTACAAATATAAACTTGGCGGGTTCGTGTGTCTGTAACAGAGAAACAACATCCGTAAATATAATAAAATTGATGGACAATCATGAAAGGAGTTACTTAAGAGCTCTTGTTTGCCAACTTGGCGTGTAGAGATGAGGGTTTTCTTCCTGGTAGTCAATCGGTTGATTGTACAATTCAAGTTACGAGTGATGTAACACTCGTGCAATCGACATGACCTCTACTTCAGCGAGCGTCGTTAATCCTCCATCAGTTATTTAGTCTCTTTTTTCCTTGATGGCTCTTTTTTTTATTGCAGAACCACTTGATTCTGCAGCAAATTGATCGGTGGAGAAGGATTCGCTTGGCTAAAGCGATTGATCGTTCGATTTTTTATGGCTCCCGAGAGGGAGCGGAGGGATTTAGCCACAATTCGATTTTTAACAGCTTGAGTGAGTGAGAGATGTGTGTCTTATGTCAATTTTGACCCCAAGTTTTCGAATAAAATTAAGTTTTCTAGCGTCTCACATCGGGAGATCGTCCAAAACTTGAATTACTTTTTCAATTTGATTTCAATGTCATTTGTGATGAATTTACATTGCTCCAATGTTGGCAGACAACATTGATCTAATGGAGTTTTTATGACGATGTAAAATCTGTCTAATCTTTCTGTGACGATATATAATTTGCCACGATTTGTTAAACTAGAGTAGATGCATTTTTTTCGAACAATTTTTTTTTGCCAAATCGCCTTTCACAAATGGTTGGGGTGCGATTTAACAAGAAAATAATTTCAATGATTCATTGAATTCAACATTGACCTAATGGAATTTTTATGACGATATATAATCTGCCAGTTTGTTAAACTAGAATAAGTGCATTTTTTTGAAGAAATTTTTTTTTGCCAAATTGCCTCCGCAAATGGTTGGGAAGCGATTCAACAACAAAAAATTCTAAAAAAATGCATTTATCCTAGTTTACCAATTGACCTCAAAAATTGATTTCAATGATTAATTTTCATTGGTTTCAAAATAAATGGTTTCAACAACAGATGATGCAATCAATCTCCTGATCGAACTCGATCAAGATGGCATTGGGAATAATATTTAAAATCCCAATCCTGGCACAAAAAATAGGAAAATTGGAAAAAATAGAATAGCCCATCCACTGTGATTAAAAAGAAATATGTGACTCACCAACTGTTTCAAAAACGATATCGGCCCAATATTGACAATCTCTCCCCCCAACTGAAGGAGAATATAGCCAACAACCCCGAGTACAGTGACACACTCAGCAATTGTTCTGCCAACATCTGTCAACTCCTCCGGCCACGCCATCAACTCAGCATCCATTTCGGCTGGACGTTGATATACAGCGAGTGACAGGGTTGTCAGGTGAAATACGAGAATTATAAGACGCTTGAGAAACTGCAACTTTTGTCAGAGTCATGCGAGTGACTGCGTTTACTCAGGGTAATTTCTGGGGGGATTCTGGGGCTTTTCACATTGATCGACTCACCCTTGCAAAGGTCTTCCATTTTTCCTCGAGAAGACGCTGAATTATCCCCCCGTCCAGCATGTCCAAGTGCTCCTCCTTGGTTCCATTAAGGATTATAAATAGCGCTGAATTCCAGTCTGAAAAACATGTTAATTCCACTTAGCAAAGGGATTCCGATATAATTCACTGATGAAAATCATTCGTTCAGTTCAATTGTGTAAAAATTCTGTGAGTCAGATTAATTTAATCAATCCAATTTATCGAATTTAATTAAATTCTTAATCCGAAAACTCTGAACTTCATGAAACAGTAATCGGATTTTCCCAATCAGATCGTTCAACGAGACCGGGATAAACCCCCCCAGTGAAATCCCCAGGACTATGAATTATCAGCAGACGCACGGAGCCCTAATTAGTGCTCAAAGTGATTATTTCCATTGTTAGATGTGAAAACACTTATCCCCTCAGCATGTCTAGGGACAAAGCATGAGTGAGGAAAAAGGAGCTTTCTGAATAAAACAAGTGGACAATTGTATTTTTGTTTTATAAATGAGGATATCTGTTGTCGCTAATAAATTATCAATTCGTCATTTCAGTATTGTCTTAACATGATAGATGCCTAACATGAAAGCATTGAAATATACTTTTCAAGCCCTGATTTAATTGGTGTTAATGAATAGAGCCTATTAAAGTCTGTGTTCATGAAAAAAAAGAAATTGGGAAATTGGGAAAAAATGAAAAAGGCAAAGAGAAATAGTAGAAAAGTGAAATTACTCGTTCTGCCATCAGGAAGAAGTGTATCCAGTGCATTGAGCGGATACGCAGAGCACGTGATGTTGCTGTATCTCCAAAACTCGCGTGCAGATAGCTCGAGCATTTCACGAAATACCTCGGCACGTCCCAGTTGACAGGCGAGTGTTAGCGGCGTAAATCCAGCATTGTTGGCGATTCCATTTCGTGCTGGAAATTTTGGATGACGCAGGGCATAGCCGAACATGTCCTGTCACCATCAACGTCATCCATTTTCAGTTTTTCAATATCAAATAGAAAATAAAAAAAAAAGGAACTCAATTTTCATCGATACTCTCGATTAAAAGCACATGTGCACGGATGGATTTTCACATTTACTGGCGTATCGCAAAAACGGGGTGATTGACGTGTGTGGGGGTGACGTCAGTGGAAAGCTGGGAAAATTTCCGGTGCCAAACACATCAATTAACTTCATTTATCTCCATTATCGACCGTGATAGGTTGGGGGGAAGATTAGACTGGTGAAAAGCGTTTTTAGGATATCTTGCCTGGTTAGCAACTGGGAAAGGTTTTTTGAAGGGCTTTGAATCGGAAAATTTCCTCACTTTTCTTTCGTTGTGATGAAAAAAAAAATTATTTCGTCAGTTCTGGGGGCTCCGGGTGTTTCATTAGCATCAGAATCATTAGTAGATGCAGAATCAACCTTCACTTGGCGAAAAAATTCGATTTTGCCGAAAGTCGATTTTTCCCCGAAAAAATCCAAGATCTGGACTTTGGCCCCAGGTGAAAATTTTTTTTTTATTTTTTACTTTTCCCACATACTATTGATAGTTCTGGATAGCCCGTCACTTGAATAGTCCGAATCAACTTTCATTCTTCCAGATCTTGGACTTTTCCCCGAAAAAATCCAAGATCTGGACTTTGGCTCCAGGTGAAAAAATTTTTTTTTTCATTTTTTACTTTGCCCACATACTATTGATAGTTCTGGATAGCCCATCACTTGAATAGTCGGAATCTGCTTTCACTTGGCGAAAAAATTCGATTTTGTCGAAAGTCGACTTTCCCCCCGAAAAAATAAGTCGACTTAAATCGTTTTACCGCTTCGCTATTGATTTTACTCCCATCATATTCCATTTTTGGCGATCAGTGTAATAAGTACTACACACTGTATCATCGCATGACTTGTACTCTCCGACAGGCCCTACTCATGAATTCAATTGAACAAAATGGAATGGCCCAAAAGCCGAAAGCTCACCAGCTTGTCGCCAACAACCACCATATGAAGTATCATATTCCCAAACGAATCCTGATCATCAGGATTAGCGCCCGAGTCAAGCAGAAGATTGTAAACACTCTCATTAGCACAACAAGCAGCCCAAGCAAGCGGATACTCGCCGAGATAAGCTAGGCCCTCGTAATCAGTGCTCCTGGCTGGTGTGTTGCCCTGCTGATCTTTAGGTAGAAAAAAACTCCCAATAGCTCTCTGCGATACAATAGCCCCAACCTCTACGAGATCCTGAACAAGTTCATTGTTGTTGTATGCAATTGCAAGATGAAGTGCACCAGCACCGAGGTACTCCTCACCCTCGACAACGTCAATGGCCAATCTTGGGAAGCACTTGAGTAGAATACGTGCAATTCTCGTGTGACTCCTTGTATCACATATTATGAGAACGTGAAGAAGAGTTTCGCCTAGGGAGCCTCGGTACTGCATCTGCCAGCATGCCTCGTGATCATTCCACTGGGCAAGTGGATCAAATCGACTAAGTGATGCCTCGATTGGGAGAACCACTTGCTCGAGATCGCGGAATTTCCAGCGAAGGTACTCGGCCCGGTTGATCACCTGTGGAGAAAGAATCATTGGAGTTCAATTCTCGGGCGATCGGTTGCGAGCCGTTGAAAGCACAAGCCTTGACCGATAATTCATTTCAAACTCATTTCAGGCCAAACTTTTCGCCACCTTACGCAGCTAATCACCTGTCCTTTGCCATCAGCGTACATCAGTATTCCGAATTGTCCCTTGATGAGTCTCTCCACTTCTGATTGGCCTCCACGGTTGTAAGCATCGATCAGCTCGCCTCCTTTCTTGTAGTTGGCTAAACGATACAGCAGGCATTGGTCCTCGTTGCTGGCCTGGCTGATGACCCGGTCGAGGATCGAACCAGCGTTCACCTGGCTGTCGCGAGGACGACAGCTGCACGCACCCATTCAGGAAATTGGAGGCGTCAACGGGTTTGGGAGGAGCTTCGGCATTTTGGGAAGGATAGGGAGATGATTAGGCATCAAATCGATGAGATCTGATCGATGAGAATCGTGGATGAACTCTTTTCTGATCGATTGCTGATCGTCTCTTGATCGAAATCCATCTGTTCATCCGTATTCGCCGTGGGTGGGTATTCGTTTGGATTCTCAACGGTCAGAAGCAGTTTTGTAGGCTCTTCTGGTCAGATTGTGATGCTTCTCCATGGGAATTCATTGATCACCACAAATTATTCACTTTTTTAAGTCAGGAAACGGTCCAGTTGCAGTCAGTTCACGGTCCACATACAGTTCATTGTTGATAAAAATGAATAATTTGAAGAGTTGCACCTCAGGCGGAGGGCGCCGTTGCACTGACAGTGGATTTGAGAAACCCTGAAGGTCTAACATCGTCAAAACACAAGGGAGACTCGGTGTGCTATAGCAACCGTCTTCACAATCTATAAACGGTACCTGGTGCAAAGGAGTACCAGAGGGTCACTGGGTGACGGCGAAAGAACACATCGCCCTCGAGCTAAATTCACCGTGTGCATGTGATGCTCTTGACTTTTATCGTAATTCCAACGATTTCTGGTACAAATGGCCTATTTCATATTTTCACAATCTACAATATCATTGTAACGGGGTGGCGTGAGTCAAATCGAGCTTTCTTTGCGGTCCATTATGTAGGGAATCAGTAGCGAAGTGGTAAAACGGTTCAACTCGATTTAGACAGTCAGTTTTCAATGAATATCTCGGAATCTAAGGCAGATGGCGAAATTATTGTCAAGACCTTTTTTACAGCCCTCATTTGGCTCTACAGAAAAGGTTCTTATGAAAATTTCGCTATCTCTCTTGGATTCAGAAATATTCCTCAAAATCTCAGGGAAGAGCTAAATCGACTGATAAATGAATTGAATTTATTGGACGAAACATGAATGAAAACATTTTTTTCATCAAAATAATTGTTGAATAATCACTTAAAATTACCGATAATTATCATTTGCTATTCAAGTGACTCGTAACCACTGGAGGAAGCCGTGTGTAATGAATATTTACTCAAGAACCGTTCGTCTAATCAGTGACAATTGTGCAAAGTCAACAGTCTGTTATGTATTCACCTCTTCTCAGAATGAAAATGAAAGAAAAATATTCTGGAGGCAGTTGTAGATATTGTCAGCCTGATAAATGAGTTATATTATTACGATTGAGGTGATTCACTGGGAGGAATTATTGAGATTGGGATGATGAAATTGGGTGATTCAGCGGAGACCAGAAAGTGTCAGGGCAATTTTGACTTTTGTTTGTTCAGAAGGTTTTATGATTCACGTATATCGGAGTTTAAATTGTCGACAGAACGATTCATCATCTTGTTTGAGTATCTGGTGAATAATTAATTTTTCGAGGCAAAACTAATTGCTTTTGTTATGCAACATTTACGGGTAATAGCGAGAAGCGATGAATCGCGAGATCTTCGAATTGATAATTCACAACAATTTTGTACGTAATAACTTTATTCAAATATCTCGGGGAAATGGTGGGGCTCATTAATCAAGATTAATTTGATCCCCTCGGGTTGTTAATAACGAAAATAAGTCGTCAGTCAGATTTAATTCGCGATAATAAATAACAACGGAAAGTGGAAATATTGTAGTCGTGTTTTAGGGAGAAATATGAAAATAGATGTGATCGATGATTCATCAAGATTGTTCTGGAAACGTTCGTCAAAAACACCTCGTCGAATACCTCTTCCACACGAGGGCTCCTCAAGGTCAAATGATAAAAAGGAATTTGTCACGAATGCACTTTTGTTACGGAGTGCGGGCGAGGGGTAAAATGTAAACAGCTTAACGTCGATAAATCAATATTCCAATCGTAAAGATCGATGTTGTACAAGTGTTTGGAATTTTCTGGAAGCTCAATCACTATTTTTTTTCATAAAAAAAGAATAATAATTTACGCACAGGATTCCTTATCATTACGCATTTATTTTTTCAGTAAAAAGGAGTTAATGTTCGCTTTTATCATAATTCGACTTGAAAAAAAATTGTAAAAATGATCTTTAAAAATTTTCGCGATGGGCCAGTGGTCGAGGGTTAATTAAAAAATTTAAAAATATCCAGAAAAAATGCCCGAAATTCACCTATCATTTCCTCCTGTGACATTCAATCCTTGACCACCCCAACAAGCCATCAACGATCTAACAAACCCAAAAAGCTAAACATAACAATCATCCCGATCTATCATCGCAGGCGTTTCGTGCGACAAAAGAGACCCATTTGGATTAGTCAGAGAAAGGGACAAGAGGACGTACAAATACAGAAAGAGATATTGTGTACAAATACAGTCGACGCTCTAGTCATTTCCCGGCGTTCCTCGAACTGTGCATACACACTATTGTTTCCCTTCCTCTTCCTCTCCCTCGTGGGGCGTTGGGAGACGTTATCACTGATTAATGCGACTTCGTGCCCGAGCTTGGTAATCGATTCCCCACCCACCACCCCACCACCTCCAGCGACCGTGTTATTTGTCACAAAATCCCGGAATTGTCTTTCTGAAGCCGCGTTAGGTATTAACATTATTTCCTCGTACTGTTCGGCTTTTTTTGCGGGGATTTTGCTCTTTCCGGAGATAAAAATTTTGCCGGAATTTATCTCATGAGGTTCATTTTTTTACCGATTGCATGTTAAAATATTATTAATACAGTAAAGGGTCAATTGACAAAATGTAAAAATATCGATGTTTTTTTTCAACGCGAAATGAAAAAAGGCAAAATTGAACAGTGCAGATTGGATTTTTGGCATTGGAAAGAACAAGCTAGTTAAAATTTGTTTATTGAACGAATGAAGCTATTCATTGATTGACTGAATGAAATGTTGTATGTTTTGTGGAAAATGATCCAACGAAGTTCGCCTTTTATTCAATGGGGGGTAGAAAATGTAAAAATATTATTAAATTGAAATGAAATAGCGTGGGTTATGTTTGCATGTTACGATTCAACGAGAATTCAACGAGTTTTTGATAAAAATAATAAGAGGTCCGATAACAAATGCGAATTCCTTCCTTTTGTTTCTGTTCAATGAGGAATAAAGCGAAATTGAAAACCGTCCATTGTAATTTTTTAATCTGAACAATTAAATGCAATTCATTCACTCGCGTTCATCAATGATTTATTGTCGGATTAAAGCTGAAACAGTCGGAATTAATTATTTAGTTATCATCATGAATGATCTTGCAATTTCTAATCTGTAATTGTTGAAGGTAAATGTAATTTCCCCCGACTCTCAATTCCTTTACTGAACCAATTCTTATAAATATTCACCATAAATTGTTTCACGTGAATAATTCAACTCGCCACATACCTACGTACATTTATCCAGCAACCGTGCACGAGAAATAAAGAGGAAAATAGTAGTTTTATCGGGATCGTGGTTTTGCAGACGGAAGGATATATTATTAGATGTCGATTTGAATTGTAACCCAACAATGGAGAGGAATTACGATTACATCGGGTCATGCACTCGGTGTGTGACCGAGTACTACTGGTCAATTTTATACTTGATTCTGTCATTTGAGGAGGCGAGTCGAATAACAACTGCTTGCGTGCAGGGATTTATTGAACTGCCCAATGCAGGCTTGATGATCCAACCGCATTGTTGAGAAAAAATCAATGTATTTTCATTGCTAATTCATTTCGCTTTTATAAAACAATTGTAGCACCCAAATAGTTGCGAGGGGGCTAAGCCCCCCTCCGGGCTTGGGAAGCGGAACGAGCAGAAGGTGCTGAGGGTCCTGGGGTAGATGAGCAAAGCGGTCGATGAGGGCGCTCGAGGTCAGTGAGCAAAAGGGGGGGTCGACCCCCCCCTCCGCGATTGGCAGAAAACACAAATTTAGACATTAATTCTTCTTCTATAAATTCCGCTGTCGTAAAAAAAAATTGTAGCACCCGAATAGTTCAGAGGGGGGCCAAGCCCCCCTCCGGGGTTGGGAAGCGGAACGTGCAGAAGGTGCTAAGATCCCTGAGGTAGATGAGCCAAGGGGCGCCGAGTAAAAGGAGGGATCGATCCCCCCGCGCTTAGTGAAAAACACAAATATAGACATTAATTCCTCTTCTTCGGGGGGGGCTTGGCCCCCCTCGCAACTCTTCGGGTGCTACCAAGCGAAAAGGAGGGTCAAGCTCCTCCCGGGGTTGGTGGACAACACTAGCGAGGGGCTGAGCCCTCTGATGAGATATTGCTCATACTTTTGTTATAGAATCTTTTTTAGAGTAAGCATTTGAGCGTTTTTCTTTCGAAAATCGTAAAATTCATAATTTTTACCCTGGAAAATTCTCTTCCTCTCTTTCTCCTCTTTTGCAACCTACGAAGGCATAAAAACCTATAAACATGAACAAGTTGAAGCGCGTGCCTCAAGAAGTCGCCGGCACGCAACAAAACAGTTGCAGCACGCAAATGCTTCAAAGAGCCTCGAGAGCTCGACGCATAAAAAAAATGAGGATGAAAAAAAAGTAATAGAAGAAAAAAGTCCTTAAGGGGGTGTCAAAGGGAGGTGGTGAATTTCCATTGCTCGTTGTGCATGCTTCAAACATATGCCGTGCTCTAGATCACGATGATAACGAACGCTTGAAATCGTGCTTTAAGAACCTTTGTTAAAAGGGAATATTATCGGAATGGCCTTGATGACATGAATACCAAGGTCATTAACTTGAGATTGAGAAAATTCCAGTGGTGGAGGGCTTTTAATGGGAGGAAGTGAATTTTATTGCAACGAGCGCTAAAATTTTTTTTTATGCCGTGCATTGAAATTTATTAACTCGAGTTTCTCATTATATTCGCTGAGTTATTTTTTCCCACTTTAATGATTTCTAGGACGAAGGGGGAAAATTACCGGGGGGATTCGAGCCTTGACATGGTTTTCATTTATTTAATAAATAGTTTCACTAATGATTATGTAAAAGGCAAAAGTCAATTTAAAATACCCGTATCCTCTTTAATAAGCTTGCTGGCCCTCGTGACCCTTTCGGTTCTTAGATGTTGCACTTTTCATTCTATAAAAGCTGAATTTATAAGATTCCAACCCCTATCATCTTCACCCTCATGATTTTTCGATTTATTTAGCTCTTTTTTGTGATCCATTTGGATTTTTTTTATTGTATGTAAAATGAGTCCACAGAAATTACTGGAAATTTTTTTATCACATGGCTCACCCGCATGTACTTTCGTGTCTTTTTTCATGTTTAATGTGTAGTTAATGGATTTGACGAAAATGTTCGATGGCTTTCCACATTATGATGAAAGTTGTTATTGTTTATCTTTAGTGCATTATTTTTCTATTTGGGGTTTTACAGGGGACGTGAGTCATTGTTCAATATTGCGCAGAATTTTTCTGCAACGGAGAACGATTTTCTGCCGAACGCGGTCGCTAGAATTTCACTTCCATTCGTCCCCATGACCTTCAGGTTAACTGTGTTTTGTGGGAAATTTTGCTGTACAACAGGATAATTTTTGCATCCACAGATGTGTTTTTTTTTTTACCGCAAACCGGTATTTTTTCATTGATTTACATTTCGCTCCGCGATTACCTTTCGCACAATAAAATTTGGGCCTGTGTGTTTCACGCAGTTGCATTTTTATATGCCTGTGTGTTTCACGCAGTTGTATTTTTATACATCAGGATTGCATTTTTCCACTTCCTACACCCTATACAAGATGAATTAAATTTTTTTTTTTTGGCATTTTCGTTTTTCGGGATTATCTCGGAAACTATGAGAGATAAACCAAATTAAAACCAAATTTGGGTCCCCTATAGGCCAGTGGATGGCTTAGAATTGCGTTTTTCCACTTCCTAGGCCTTATACAAGAGGAATTAAATTAATTTTTTTTGGCACTTTCGTTTTTCGCGATTATCTCGGAAACTATGAGAGATAGAGCCTTAAAACCTATTCCATTCGATTCCTGAG